TCACGGGGCGACTCCATGAGTCATTGAGTGGCGGCAGTACGACGCCGTGAGATGAGGCCGCTGGCCCACCCCGCCTCGGGCCGTTCTGCCTGCGCGGGGTGCCGAGACCAGGGGCGCGCACTCAAGGGCGGGAGCACGCGGGTTTAAAACTCCTCCTCCTTCTCTCCCCCTCCCATCCTTGCTTCTGCTTTCCGCGCGTCCTCATCAGCATCAGCAGTATCAGCAGCAGCATCATCATCACCATCATCATGCTCATCATCATCATCATCAGCAGCATCAGCATCAGCAGCATCACCATCAACAACAACAGCATCATCATCATCACCACCATCACCACCACCACCATCACGATAAGCATCACGAAAGGCCGCCGCGCGTTCAGGCTTTTGCAGGAACAGCGGCCTTTTCAGCGGCGCCCCCCCGCCCCCCCGCGGAGGCGGAGGGCCGTCGAGGGCACCCCGCTCAGCACGCCATGCCGAGTGCATGGTGCTCCAGTGCGCGGGCACCGCGCGCTTGAGGCGCGCCAGGGGGTGCAGAAGGACGGCCCAAAACGTTATGACCACCAGCCCGCTGCACATGTGTTTGTCGGACCAGTTGCACGAGATCTACTCGCAACCCTCGGTGGCGTACCCACAGGTCCTGAGCCGACTCCCGCCGACCATGCCGAACATCCACGGCACGAACCTAGAGGTTATCACGTTGGACGTCGATTTTCCCGAGCCCTCCGCACGTTAATTTCTGCACGCTGGCGAACGTAGATGCGACGGACGGGAACTCTAAGTTCACCGCGCTCGAGCTGCCAGTTGCGAGCGACAGGGACTACAATTTCAAGCACCACGGGAACCCAGACGAGCCCCAGACCACAGCGACTTCCACCACGGCCAGGACTCAACCACCACTCCGACCTCAGCATGCGATCCACGACGAGTTCGCGTCGGCAAAGCCGTCCGCAAACCCAGAGGTGCCCGACGCCCACGCGCCCAGCACGACACCCACGACGGCCAAGACCCCACGCCCCAACACCGCTCCACCAAGCCGCTCACCTTCATGGGCTGGAACCCATTCTCCCTCAAGTGCGAGCCTGGCCGCTTGGACCACATCTCTGACACGTGCCGCCACATCCAGGTGTTTATTGTTGTCGGCACACATCTCAGACAACGCACCGCCGACGCCCCACATCACGTTGAGGACTCCATCCGCCGCGCATGGGTACACTTCGGCTGGGGGCGTGGCGCCCACACGAACAGCTCGGCGGGATGCAGCATCGCGATCGCCAGGCGCCACTTCCGATGCCAGGACATCGTCAAGATTCTCCACCCACCTATGGCCGACTTGCGGGGCCGAGCGGGCGCCATGGAACTTCGCCGAGGTCAAATACGCCTTCGCATCGTGGCCGCTTACATTCCACCACGCCCAAGCGGGCCTGGTCACCACGCCCAATGGAAGCTGGGATGCCGACGATTATGGACCTGGGTACAGAATTGCATGACTACTACGCCGACGAGGGTCACACCACTCTTCTTCACCGACCTCAACCAGGGCCTCGGACGCCGCGCACGACGCCTCCACACCGACGACGCCGTCGGATACCACTAGGCCCACGACGAGACCGAGTTCGGCCGCTACGTCAACGACCAGCTGCTCCACCACGAACTCACCGCCAACGCGCACCGACGTTGGCCACGCGTACTACGGCCCGAAGCGCTCCCGTTCCCGCATCGACTCTTTTATCGGCCACCACGCCATCCTCGAGATCGTCAAGTACGTCCGCCTGGACTGGAAGATCCACAGCCGCGTTCGCGCCCTCTTCCACGCACCCGGCCACATTCCGATGCCCATGCAGATCAAGATACCATTCCACTTCGGCTGCCCCACCCAGAGCCCGATCAAATGGGACCACGGCATCATGGCCGCATGCTTGCAGACAGACGAGAGGCGCGAAGAGTTCATCCGCGACGTTGCTCACCGCATCAACCACCACCGCGAGCTCTTCCGCGTCGTCAAGATGGACCACTTCCCCACCCGCCACAACGCGTTTCTCAACAACATCATCAGGACGCGTGCAAGCCGCTGCTTCACCAGGGAGGGTCACCAACCACACTGGTATCAGCAGGCTCGACGAGATCGGCTTGAACTACTCAAGCGCCGCGCCCACCTACGAGCTCAACGCTTGCCCTTCAACGACGTCGTCCTCCGCAACATCCAGCTCCAGCTACGGAATCACCAAGGATGGATGGACCACTGGTGGAAGGTGAGCATAAACCAGGATATGCGCGACTCATGGACCTGCCGCGACCGTGCACGAGTGGCTCACCTTACTTACCTACGCGCGGGTCGCCGCGTCGCCGCACTGTGCCACGACGACGCTCCTACCTGTCGCCCCCCTCCACGTGCCCCGCCGCTGCCGAGTGCACCGCCGCGCTCGCCACCGACGCCGCGAGAGGGGGCCTCGCCGCCGCGTCTGCTCGCGTCAGCTTCTACCTCGACGACCCCGAGTTTATCGAGCGCCTCCTCGCGCGCAGCGACGACCAACCGGCGCCGGTTGGCGAGGTCGCGGGCCCCCCCAGCCTCGAGGACATCGCGGCAGCGGCCGAGGAGCTAGAGCACATCCATAAACGATATTGGCAAGCGAAGCGCCGACGCTACAACCCACCATGGGGCTGGCCGTTGGAAGTCACCGTCTTGCTCTTGCACCCGCAATACCTCGCGCGACCTGGCGCGCGGCGCGTTGGACTTGGGCGCGCCAGCGCTGACTGCGAGCACGCCGACCCTCTCGCCCGACACCCGCGCCAGCCCCGCAAGCGCAAGCCCGAGCTCGACTATGACCAGCATTGTTTTGATCACTTCTGGCGGCTCCATCTCCGTGTCGGACTGCTACAATATGGCGCCGCCTACGCCCCCTCCCCCTACTGGGCCTGCGGATGGGGCCCACTCCAGACGCCGTGAGGCCCTCGTGCTGATGGCTAAGCTCTTGATCTGGAAGCTCCGAGCTGCGCGCTGGGCATTCCTTGCCAAATCCCATGACGTGTGCAATGTTTTTGCGACGGGACACCACGTGCGTCTCATCGCCGCGCACGCTGCTCGGTGCGAAGACGATCGCTTTCTGCCGCTCCTCGAGCAGCGTCGCGAGGAGGCGGCAGTGCACCTCCAGGCCTCGGACCCCGCCCTTGCTCTTCGGCCAGGCACGGGGGTGGCGGTGGGAGATTCAAACGAACCTGAATTATTCACGGGATCTTTTAAACCGTTGGTAACCAGATGGAATGAGGAAATGGCCAAAGTCCAAGGGGAACTTTTTCAAGTAGTGCGCCCCTTCACGACCGAGAGCTACGACGCGCGCATTGGCGCGTTCATCGGTGACCTGTTCAAGACCCCGCCGGTGCCCGGCGGCGCCGCGCTCCAGGCCCTCCAGTTAGATGCGATCGACGACCGCTCCCTCTCCCAGGCCCTGGACTTTGGAGGCTGCGCCCAGAACATAGGTGAGCAGGACGCCCTGGTCTCTTTGGGCGCGCGCGGGGCCGCTCGGGGGGATACGTCAACGCCTCATTCGCTTGGGGGGATACGTCAACGTGGCCAACAATAACCGTCGAAAAATTGAAACACGACTACAATCTGGGAGCGTAGGCTGGACACGTCTTGGAGACTACTGGTTCTCGGGCGGCCCCTGGAAGGCCAAACGACTATCGTTTGTGCCCAGCGTCGCGCGGCACCTGTGGGCAGGACTGGAAAGCTACGACCTTAGCAAACGGGAACTACATCGTCTGGACAGCTCGCTAGCGCGGAAACTTCGAGCTATGATGATAGGTGCGGCGCGTCACCTCGATGAGCAGGATGCCCATTCTTCTCACAACCCATCAGGTGTCTCAAGGGTGGCAGATTGCTCCGTCGGCCGTCGAACTACTCGTGCGCAGACTAAGCTGGTGGCAGAGCAATGCGCATAATCCGAGCCACCATGGCCAGTTCCTTGCTAATTTTTGTTGGGCGACGTCTCTTCGAGCAGCAGGCGGCCATAAGTCACCGCCCAGTCAGTGCCTCCACCCTCAACGAGCAGGGTGGGTTTTCCGCTGCTCCGAGTGTTCACCCGTGGGCCAAGCAGCTCGCAGATGACCTGTTGCGCCTGGCGTCACACCCCATCGGCGAGAGTTTCCAGAAGGCGTGGCAGCCGCTCGCTGTAGAAAACTCGTGGGAAGATGAGTATGTTCGGAGCGCCTTCCAGTATTGCGACGTTCGTGCACTCGGAGCCTCCTACTGGATCTCACACTGGGCACCACCAGGGACCAGCATGTTGGCCCCCCCCCTCCCCTCGACGACCTCATGCGACGAGGCGGACAGCGACGACAAAAGCAGCCGCCCGTTCGCATGTCAAATTCCTTCGTGGGGGCTACGGCTTGGGCCTCTCAAGCAGTCGGTTACACTTCAGTCGAAATCTCGGGGGGGCGGACGCGGCACGCCACCACTACTCACAACATTACAGGTCGGCAACAAATTTATCGCATGCCGAACTACTTTCCCAAATCAAGATCATGCTACACGACGTCTACGACGCTCATGGATTGCTGGTAGGTGCATAGCGGAGCCCACGCAACATGTATATCCATGGCACCAGGCCACATGTGCACTACAGTGTGCCCTTCGGGAATATGACGTCGATTCCGTCTGCCAACGCGAATTTCTGAATTATTCTAGGTCTCGAGCCCATCTTCTCTCGCGCCTTCCGCCGTCGCCGTTGGGGCCGAGGCCCAAGCCGACTAACAGGGCCGAGGCCCGCCCGGCGAAGTCGGGCCCAGCACAGCTTCGAGCAGCCGCCCCGCTCAGACCTGCGCGTCGGCAACCTCGCGCGATCGAGGGCGCCCCGGCAGCCGGGGCAGCCCTCCACCGAGCAGCGGGCCTCATTCTGGGCACGCGCGAAGCACTTCGACATCGGCCACGCGTCGCTCGACCACCACGTCGGACATCAGCGCCCCCGACAGCGGCTCCAACAGCGGCTCCATCGCCCGCCGCAGCGTCGAAGCCCACGCTACCAGTGCTACGACGTGAGCACGATGACGGCAGCGGCGGCGCTAACAGGGGGGGCTCCACCGCCGAGGCCGCGCAGCCGGCAGCCGAGCCGAAGCGCGCGAGCTGGCGCCTCCCCCTGGGCTCTTCCGAGGGCTCCAAAGCATCTGGCGCCGCCTCCAGGAGCGACGAGGGCCCCCCCCCTGCGGCCAAGCCCCGTCTCCAGAAGCCGCCGACGAAGCCAGGTCAGCCACCGAGAGCGCCAGTCGACGCGGCGATTGAGGTGGACGCGGACGAGCAGGCATCCAGGGGCGACGCGCGCAGGAAGCGCAGGGGCGGCCGCAGGGCGCGGAGGGGGGCCCACAGCGACGCGGTCCGGGGCAGCAAGGACAAGGACCGGATGGCCTTGCTACGCACCGCGCTCAAGCTGCTGCCCCAGACCAGCTGGAGGGGACCCCTGTGGACGGGATCTCCGCAGAGCTGGGGGGCAACGAGAACATGCTCGACAAGCTCCGCAGCGGAGACGCGGAGGACAAGCATAAGCTCAAGGAGATAGTGTCCCCAGCTCCAGCAATGTGGCTCGCCGCGCTGGAGAGCCCCCTGAAGTGCGACGTGGGCGGAGCACTCGAGCAGAAGATCAGCGCCCACCTGGGGCAGGCCCAGCCGTCCGACGAGACGGCCGAAGTCGAAATCACGAAGTGCGAACAGCAGCGGCAGATCAGCTTCACACGGCTCGAGCGATGCTTCGACGCGGACAAACCAAGCTGATCGTGGGGGCCCCAGAGTGGCCAGGCCGCAAGCCAATCATGGAGGCGTTGGCCGCCGAGGGCGCGGCGCAGCACCGCCGCGGGGCGGCGCCAGCGGGGTGGCTCGAGGAAGAGGCGGCGCGCTGGCTGGAGACACTCGAGCAATAGTTGTTATTAAGGGGGCCCCCGCTCCCTGCCAGCCGCCGCGGCGCACAGGTACAGCGCCAGCGCCCGCCCTCGGAAGACTCAGAGCAGGAGCGCGCCACAGGGCGCGCGCGCCGCTAGTCTCAGAAGATTCAGAGCAGGAGCGCGCCGACGGGCGCGCGCCACCAGCCTCGGCATCTTCTGTCGTCGCTTCCAGGCCAGACCTCCCAGCAGCTGCCGACTCGGGATCGGCAGGGCGCGCGCAGCCAGCCTCAGAACACTCGCAGCTGGAGCATGCCGCAGGGCGCGCGCCGCCAATCCTGGAAGACTCAGAGCTGGAGCATGCCGCAGGGCGTGCGCCGCCAGTCTCAGCTGTTCTGTCTTCTTGTCTGGGCCAGCAGACTCGGGATCGGCAGGGCTGGCGCGGCCGGACTCTGCCGACTCGGGGCCGCCCTATCTCGAACAGCCCGAAGGCCGACGCGATCAGCTCGATACAGCAGCAGAAGAAGAGGCCGCAGCTTTTTTGTTTGACGAGCACATGCCTCCTCGAAGCGTCTCGCGGCAGCGCGACGCAGCCCCCCTGTGTCAGCGCCCGCGAGGCGTGGCCCCAAGACCGAGGACAAATGAGAGATTCGGCTCTCTGCGGCGGACCATATCTTTCTTTAACGCTGCGCAGGCTCTTTTGGTCACGATGCCGAGTTAAAATATGCATCGCGATCATCGTCAGCAATCCCATATCAGCATCAGCAGCATCAGCATCATCACCAGCATCATCATCAACGACAGCAACAACACCATCATCATCAGCATCATCATAATCCGAATCATCACCATCATCACCATCAGCATCATCATCATCATTATCGTCATCGTCATTGTCATCACCGCCGCCAGAATCCTGACTTCCATCGTCACCATCATCATTATCATCAACAGCAGCATCATCATCAGCAGCAGCCATCATCAGTAGCATCCTCATCTAAATCCCCATCATCAACATCACCATCATCACCACCCTCAGCAGCACCACCACCATCATCATCACCACCATCACCATCATCTTTCTCGCCACCACCATCACCATCACCATCACCATCACCATCACCATCACCACCATCATCGTCACCGCCAGCAGTAGCATCATCAAAAACAATATCAGCAGCAATGTTCATATTTTGGCACACCCTCTCGTTTCGTGGCCCCCTGGCCCCTCGCGTTTCGCGACCTCGGAGTCGTCACGGTCGCCGGCAAGCGGCGCAAGCACCCCGTGGCCGCGGCGCGGGTGCAGCTGGCCTGCGGTCGCTTCGCGCGCCTTCGGCGCCTGCCAGCGCCCGTCCGTTGGCGGCGTCTGATGGGGGCGGCCGCCGGCACGGCCGCGGGCACCTATGGATCCTCGTGCTGTCGCCCTGCTGCGGGTGAGCTTGAGCGGCTGCGCCGCGCCGCCAAGTCTGCCACCGGCCATGGGCCCCGGGCTGCCGCCGAGATGGCGCTCGGCGTGCTCAGCCCCGCTTGGCGCCTGGACCCCCAGGCGGCTGTCACCACCGCGCCGCTGCTGCAGGCTGCTCGGGCGCTCCGTGCCGGCCAGCTCGACCTCGCTACGTGGCGCAGCACGGCTGACGCAGTCCGCGCTGCAGCTGGGCGCGCCGTCGGGCCAGTAGCCGCCGCGTTGTGCAGCTTCCGCGAGCTGGGCCTGGGCGGGGACATGGAGTGCCGGGTCGGCGCGCCGGCGGCGCCGAACGGCTGGCCCCCAGCAGAGCGGTCGCGGCGGTCCACTAAGCGCGTAGTGCTGGCGGCGCGGCGCCGGGCAGAATGCCGCAAGGTCGCCTCGCGTCGGCCGTGTTTTGCCCACGTAGCTGGCGGCGGGGACAGGTGGGCGACGCGCCGCCTGCTTGCCACCGACGCCCTCGCGCCTGTGCGGGCGCCTGCGGGCCCGCTGGGTGCCAGCGCACAAAATGCCGGCGGAGGCGCGGCGCCTTTGGGTCAGCGAACGCGACCGCTTCGGCAACGCCGCAACCGCTGCGCAGCAGGACCTCACGCGGCGCGCGCCCTCCGCAGGGAATTTGAGCTGCGGGAAGCGGCGCAGCGGGTGCAAGCGGCTGCCCAGCAAGCAGCCCTGGCTGCGGCGCTTGCCCCCTTGCGCCGCCGCCGGGCCCCGCCGCCGCCGACCACGCACCCGCGGTCCCGCCTGCAGTTCGGGCACGCTGGGGCGCCAGCGCCGAACCCGTCAGCGCCAGCGCCATGCCTGCCGAGTTCTCTGCGGGCCGCTCATGGTGGCCCCACTCCTTCGTGCAGGGGCCCTCGCAGGTCTGCTGCCTGCGCTGCGGCGGCAGCGCCGAGACCTCGGTGGCGATGCTGGCCAGTGCTTGTCCGGGATGGCGAGATCGGAAATAGCGCGTTTTGTGGTCGCTTGGAGGGGGGGGGCTTGAAACCGGACCCCCCCTCCCTCCTTCCCCTGCTTCCCATCCTCTCCTCGGGCCGGCGCTTGCGTCGGCGGCTGCTGGCGGCTGCGGCAGGGACGACGATTTCTTTTTCTGGGCCGGCGCCGGCGCGTCTGCGGCGGCGGGCGGCGGCGGCGGGGAGCGTCGACGAGGACGACGGTGGTGGTGGTGGTGATGGTGGGTTCTGGTGGTGGTGGTGGCGTTGGCGGTGGTGGTGGTGGTGGTGTAGTGGTTTGTTGTTGTGGTGGTGGTGGTGGTGGTGGTGGTGGTGGTGGTGGTTCGGAGATGGTGTGATGGTTGTTTGTAGTGGTGGTGGTGGTGGTGGTGGTGGTGGTGGTGGTGGTGGTTGTGGTGGTGGTGGTGGGTTGTGGTGGTGGTGGTGGTTTGGTGGCGGTGTGGTGATGGTTTGTTGTGGTGGTGGTGGTCTGTGGTGGTGGCGGTCGTTTGTGCAGGTGATGCTGGTGGTGGTGGGTTGTGGTGGTGGTGGTGGTGGTGGCGTGGTTGTTTGTGGTGGTGGCGGTGGGTTGTGCTGCTAGTAGTGATGGTGGTTGTGGCGGTGGTGGTGATGGCGTGGTAGATTGTGGTGGTGGTGGTGGTATTTAGGCGCCACGAAAGTTTCCTGGGGAACACGGAAGACCTCCAGACGACCCAGACAGGATGCCTGGGCGGCCCGATGGCCCCAAGATGGTTCCACGACGGTCTCAGACGGGCACGAGGATGACCTTGGGGCGACCCCAAGAAGACCCCGTAGGATCCAGACGCAGCGTCGAAATGGCTCGGGGGCGAATCCAAGATGGCCCAAGATGTGAGCGAAGCCCCCGAGACCAGACGCGGTGGCCCCCGAGCGACCCCGAGGTGGCCGGATCATTCCCAGAGTACAACACCATGGTCTGAGAAAGGATTTCAAGATGACTTCAAGAAGACCCGAAAACGTCATACATTCGCGGGATCGGGTCCCACCGCGGGATTCATCCGGACCCTATTTTTCATGGGTGGGATTTATGGTTGGCCGGGCGAAAATTAGATTACCCTACGCGACCACCCTCTTGGTGATAAGGAGGTTCGGGGGGGGGAGGAACCAACGTCTCACTCGATCGGTCTCACTATCGATCTCACTATCGCTTTCGCTCGATTGATCTCACTCGACCGATCTTACAATCGAGATCACTCGATCTATTTCATTCGATCGATCTCACAATCGATCTGACTATCGATATCACTTTCGATCTCACTATCGATATCACTATCGATCTCACTATCGATCTCACATTCGGTCTCACTACCAGTCTCACTATCGATATCACAATCGATCCCATAATCAACGTCATAATCCTCATCAACGTCATCGTCATCAACGTCATCATCATGATCATCATCATCATCGGGACACCATCATCATCATCATCATCATCACCTCATCACCATCATCATCAACATCATCATCGTCACCATCATCATCGTCACCTGGACACCATCATCGTCACTATCATCATCAACATCATCAGCGGGAGAGTATCATCATCAACAACATCGGAACACTAACTACCATCATCAACACCATCATCTCATCATCATCATGAACAACATCAGCAACATCATCAGCAGCATCGGGACACCATTATCAGCATCAGCAACATCATCATCATCATCAGCAGCAGCATCATCATCATCGCTGGGGCACCATCATCATCGTCACCATCATCATCACCATCATCAGTATCATCACCATCATCGGGACACCATCATCATCAACATCAGGATCATCATCATCACCGGGACACCATCATCAAAATCATCATCATCAGCTCATCATCATCCTCATCATCAACATCACCATCATCGGGACACCATCGTCGTCATCATCATCATCAACAGCATCACCATCACCGGGACACCATCATCATCGTCATCATTATTATCATCATCAATTGCATGCTCATCAACCTCATTCTCACCACCATCATCGGGGCACCGTCATCATCACCAGCATCATCATCTCATCATATCATCATCACCAACATCATCAGGATCATCCACATCACCATCATCATCATCATCATCGAGACTCCATCATCATCGTCATCATCAACATCAGCAACATCAGCATCATCAACATCAGCATCAGGACACCATCATCACCCCTACCATGGCCATCATCATCAGCATCATCATCATCAGCATAAACATCGTCAACATCATCATCATCAGCGTCATCGGGACACCATCATCATCACCACCATCACCATCATCATCACCATCATCATCAACATCATCATCATCATCAGCATCATCATCATCATCATCATCATCATCATCATCATCATCATCATCATCATCATCATCATCATCATCGGGACACCGACGGTTCAC